GGCGTGTGTTTGTGGGTGTGTGTGTGTGTGTGTGTGTGTCTGTGTGTGGTGTGTCTGTCTGTCTGTCTGTGTGTGTGTGTGTGTGCGTGGGTGTGTGTGTGTGTGGTGTCTGTGTGTGTGTGTGTGTGTGTGTCTGTGTGTGTGTGTGTGTGTGTGTCTGTGTGTGTGTGTGTGTGTGTGTGTGTGTCTGTGCGTGCGTGTGTTTGGGCGTGTGTGTGTGTGTGTGTGTGTGTGTGTGTGTGTGTGTGTGTGTTTGTGTTTGTGTGTTTCCTAGTCCTAGCGTTCTTGTCCCGTCTTGCAACCTTTGGCCATGCACTCTTGAACCTCGACATCAAGTCCCTTGACGTACTAGATGGCCTACAGGCATACAGAGTCGTACGCGGATGTATTTGTACCAATCAGTACACGAAGTGCACGCAATGGCAACCTTCAAGGACCCTCCCCCCCTCCAACCCGTGCGGTGTTGGGAGGAGATCCAAAAGACGGACGAGCAGCAAAATGCGACGAGATTCGACAGGCGTCGGGAAACGACCAACTCAGGGGATGCCAAGGAGCGCAGGCAGCTCAAAGCCGCAGAGGTGCGAGGCCGGACCTGGGGTCTCTGCAGAAACAGTTGCTTTGTGCAATCAGTTCTTTGATCGAGGGTTCACAGGGGTTCACGGTGACTCTGGTGACGACCGGAGCCTTTTGTTTGTACGGGCACGCGGACCAAAAGTCACATTCGGGGGACGAAAAAACCAAAGCACGCACTAGGAATAAATGGCCGTGTTCTATAGCAATACAGTAGCCTTCTCCTGCGAAAACACTTCCCAAAGACTGACAGTGACCCTTTGCAGCGGTTTCCCAATGTCCTCTTGACAGCCCCCAAATCTTCCAGTTGCAGGCCTCATGCAAGCAGCCATGGCGGCCGCTGAGAATACCGGCAGCTCCGCATCTGCCGAGTGACTGGGAGCCCCTTCTGGCAGCTCTGTGAGTGTTTCTTCGCTCGGGAATCTCCAGATGAGCATAGGGGTTTGTGGACCTACAGCTTGACACCTCCTGAATCGTGACTCAGTATCACCGGTTCATTGGGCAGTCCTGCCACCTACTCTTTTGGAGACCCGAAAGAAAGAATACTTCATTGCGTCTCTCTCCCGTGGACCATGGCAAAACTCCCAATTGTGGCAAACTCCTTGCGCAATCGTCATGGTAGTAGCTTCAAAAGACTGCAGCGCGAGGAGATGCAGCAACATTTGAAGAGCTGCAACAAAACAAAAACCTCGTGCCGTCTGCGCCATCATCACCTCTGCGGGGTGGCATGCTTGAGGATGCAGAAGCTTGTCTGAAGAAAAAGATCCCAAGATCGAAGGTGCAGGCAGAGCGGATGCAAGTGAGCCTTTGCAGTGGGGTTGAACGTTGAGGCTGGGGTGTCGAGTTTAAGGTTGAGGGTCGGGCTGAAGGTTGAGAGTTTCAGGTTGCGGGCTAAGTAGAGGCGGTGCAAACCTCTGCGTTCCCATGCTCGAGCATTTGCCAGACTTGCGGCACGCAAGATTAGAATTGCTCTGCATCAAGAGGGGTTTGAGAAGGGGTTGGGGCTTCAGCTATGGAAGCCTCTCGTGCAAGGAGCCCTAAACCCTAAACCCTAAACCCTAAACCCTAAACCCTAAAGTTGTTGCAGAGGTTGCCCAGCTTTCAGGCTTCGTTGCCGAGAAGAGTGCGTGCGCTCCGGGTTCGGCAGCGTTTCGTAGTGTTTCGTTGCAGCGGTTGCATCTCATTGTGCAGAGCCGTCACAGTCGCTGTATCAGTAGCCACGCACTTCGACAGTTCAGATAGAGCCGAGGGGTGCCAGACATCAGGTTTATAGGCACAAACAGCACTCGTCGTCCATGCGCTTAAAGCTACAGTTTCTACCAAGAAGGCTGCAAGCGTTTGCAGTCATCTGCGTTCCCCACCATGGGCCAAAGCTGCTGCTGTGGCCGCGACAAAGCCGAGCCGTCATTCGAGAAATGCTCCAAGTTTGCGGTGATGCCGCCAATGGAAGGCATTGTCTGCAGAAGCAATGTGCTCACAAGGTTTTAGGTGGTTTCGAGAGCTGGGCCTGAAAAGGCTTGAAACTCTAAGCTGACGGCTGAGATGTTCTTAAGCCTTGTCTCGAAAGGGATATGTGTGTGTGTGCATTTGACGATGATTGCGACGTCTCCGGCTCAGGTCAAACCTGTCAGCAGGCAGCGTTTGACCCGCACAACGAGAAGTTCGAGCTGATCGCGGAGACTGACCTATTGCCGAGCGATTGCATCACCAACGGTGACACGCAGCTGCCAGCCAGCCAGTCACGCGGGACGCATACCCGCCTGTTCGAGGAGTGCACGTGCAAGGGCACGTGATGCTGTGCGTGTTTCTTTCTGTTTGTTTGTGTGTGTGTGTGTGTGTGTGTGTGTGTGGGTGGGTGTGCGTGCGTGTGTGTACGTGCGTGTGTTTGGGCGTGTGTTTGTGGGTGTGTGTGTGTGTGTGTGTGTGTCTCTGTGTTGGTGTGTCTGTCTGTCTGTCTGTGTGTGTGTGTGTGTGCGTGGGTGTGTGTGTGTGTGTGTGTCTGTGTGTGTGTGTGTGTGTGCGTGTCTGTGTGTGCGTGTCTCTCTGCGTGTGTGTGTGTGTGTGTGTGTGTCTGTGCGTGCGTGTGTTTGTGTGTGTGTGTGTGTGTTTGTGTTTGTGTGTTTCCTAGTCCTAGCGTTCTTGTCCCGTCTTGCAACCTTTGGCCATGCACTCTTGAACCTCGACATCAAGTCCCTTGACGTACTAGATGGCCTACAGGCATACAGAGTCGTACGCGGATGTATTCGTACCAATCAGTACACGAAGTGCACGCAATGGCAACCTTCAAGGACCCTCCCCCCCTCCAACCCGTGCGGTGTTGGGAGGAGATCCAAAAGACGGACGAGCAGCAAAATGCGACGAGATTCGACAGGCGTCGGGAAACGACCAACTCAGGGGATGCCAAGGAGCGCAGGCAGCTCAAAGCCGCAGAGGTGCGAGGCCGGACCTGGGGTCTCTGCAGAAACAGTTGCTTTGTGCAATCAGTTCTTTGATCGAGGGTTCACAGGGGTTCACGGTGACTCTGGTGACGACCGGAGCCTTTTGTTTGTACGGGCACGCGGACCAAAAGTCACATTCGGGGGACGAAAAAACCAAAGCACGCACTAGGAATAAATGGCCGTGTTCTATAGCAATACAGTAGCCTTCTCCTGCGAAAACACTTCCCAAAGACTGACAGTGACCCTTTGCAGCGGTTTCCCAATGTCCTCTTGACAGCCCCCAAATCTTCCAGTTGCAGGCCTCATGCAAGCAGCCATGGCGGCCGCTGAGAATACCGGCAGCTCCGCATCTGCCGAGTGACTGGGAGCCCCTTCTGGCAGCTCTGTGAGTGTTTCTTCGCTCGGGAATCTCCAGATGAGCATAGGGGTTTGTGGACCTACAGCTTGACACCTCCTGAATCGTGACTCAGTATCACCGGTTCATTGGGCAGTCCTGCCACCTACTCTTTTGGAGACCCGAAAGAAAGAATACTTCATTGCGTCTCTCTCCCGTGGACCATGGCAAAACTCCCAATTGTGACAAATTCTTGCACAATCCTCATGGTAGTAGCTTCAAAAGACTGCAGAGCGAGGAGAGTGATGTCAAATTTTTCGAGGATGCAGCAACATTTGAAGAGCTGCAACAAAACAAAAACTGGTGCCGTCTGCGCCATCATCACCTCTGCGGGGTGGCATGCTTGAGGATGCAGAAGCTTGTCTGAAGAAAAACATCCCAAGATCGAAGGTGCGGGCAGAACGGATGCAAGTGAGCCTTTGCAGCGGGGTTGAACGTTGAGGCTTGGGTGTCGAGTTTAAGGTTGAGGGTCGGGCTGAAGGTTGAGAGTTTCAGGTGCTGGCCAAGTAGAGGAGGTGCAAACCTTTGCATTCCCATGCTCGAGCATTTGCCAGAATAGCGGCGCGCAAAATTAGAATTGTTCTGCATCAAGGGGGGTTTGAGAAGGGGTTTCCGTCCTTGTTATTCTTTCTGTGGAGACTGGCATGCATAGACTGGCATCCAACACAAAACAAACAGAGTGAGCATTGGATGCCACGGTGGCCCTTAAACAATGCGAGAGAGGGACGTGCGCAACGTGAAAGGCCCTTGGCCTGAGCGCCAAAATCCGGAAGCCCTATCCTGCCGCCTCAGGCTGATACCTCGGACAGAGAAGCTAGCAGCCTGCGGCCCAATCGTTTTTGGGAGTAAGGGGATGTGGGCTATTGATGGCTATTGCAGGCTCTCGTATAAGCTTCCAAAGGTTTAGCTTCCTGTTTCCCTCAAGTTTCCTGCATCTGTCAACCGATGGGCATTTTTGTTGTATTTGGGAATGAGAAAGATGTAAGCTTTCGCCTGAACTCTCAAGCCCTAAATCCCAACGACTTGAGAACGCAATCGGCCCTATAAACCCTTTCTGAGGTTCTTACGAGATGCTGGAGGCTGCCTCAGCACAACCCTTAGTTCATTTTGCCGGGCTTGTTGCGACTTGTGTGCTTCTCGGACAGAGGGGAAGGCACTGTGGAGAAGCGAAACCAGGAGGAATCAGTTGACTTGCGCAAATTTGCAGAAGCATCTGGAAGAGAGCGAGAGAGGGGCAAGCCACTTTCAAGTACCGTGCAGGACTATTCCATAATTAGCATGCATACGCATACTCGTAGCTGCGGAAGAGCTTTTGTTTGTAAGGCCGCGAGATTCAACACCAGTGTTTAGCCCAGCCGCTTGGCCTGCAGATCTGGACCATAGGAGCCCTTCGGTGGCTTCATAGCCATCAGTCTTGGCGCCACTTCCCCTTGTTCAGCGGCGCCTCTGCAGCCGAGCCGTTTCACCCCAGAAGGCACCCGATCCTAGCAATTGTTTCCTCGACGTGCGCGCACGTTGCAAAAGGTGCTGTCTGGAAGCCTGATAAAGCCTGCCATGTCTGACTTCTCTTTTTGCCACATGTGTCACTGATGTTTGAGGATCTCCTGTCGAAGTCCAACAAGTGAGCCCATGGATTTCAAGTCGTACTCTTCACGAAGATTGAGCCGCATAGTTCACTGTCTGATATGACGATATGGCCCGGACCGTGCCTCCAGTTGATGGCTAAGATCCGGCCATTGCAGGTATGATTGGGGAATGCGGGCCATCAAGTCAGTTCTTGTGGTCGCAGGAAGTTCGGCCCCCAGAGAGTTGCTACGGCCAGCTGTCGCATCGCTACAAAATGGAGCCTGAATTTGCTTCGGTCCTTTGCCGCAGCTTACGGATAGTCTGCACTGGACAACGAGGCTTTAAGCGAGCCGATCCCAGCTTGTCCGAGCAGGCAGTACTGATGAGGCAGGATCGCTGAGTCGATTGTGGTAGGGCAAAAATGGGTTGGTTGTATTTATGATATGTATGAGATGTATGAGATGTATGATATGTATGATACGTATGATACGAATGATATGTATGATATGTATGGCACGTATGATATGTGTGACATGTATGCATGCATCGTATCTGTGTATGTCGATATGTGTACGTGTAGATGTACATGTACATGTACATACACACATATACATATGTACATATATATAGTTAGACACATACACACCGCTCTCTCTTCGTGTTTTGCTGGGGTGTGAAAGGGGAGAACGGGGCGGGGCAGCCGTCATAAGGCCCCCAAACCCTGCGATCTAGTCAGTAGCCACAACAAGTCACAACCCGAACGCCGATGGACATGAACCCCGGAGAAAGGATGCATCTCGATGTAGCTTGTGGGTGTTGTTACGCCGATTGGGTCGGGCCTCGGATAGCTTTTGAAGCGCTCAAGAAGCAATGGGAAGCATTGCTTGCCAAATTGCCGTGGCCTCGCTGTTGGCGGCATGTCTCAGTGCCGAGAGTCATATTGCCTGGGGTCCGCTGAGCTTGTCCCAGAACAATGCTCTTCAGAATATGGAAGATGTGCACAAGTTCATCCAGGGTATCTACTATTCCAAGGCTCCTCAGGCAGGGAGCTAGAAGCCTAAGCAAAACATCACGCAGAGCACAGAAGGTGGGCATCTGGAAAACGAAACGTTTTGCCAAAGCTCAGAAAACTCAGGGGACGTTCCGGGAGATCTGGGGCGAGGTGACAGAAGGCCTCGCCTTCTTGGAGGGCTTGGCGCTGGGGTCAACGCCAGCCCTATGCTTCGCCATAGGCCTCGCTTCAAAGACGTGTGTTGAGAATGTTATGGGCCGGGGTAGTGTTTCGTGCCTCTGGAATTCCTCTAGTCATATGGTCTCTAAGTTGGGGTCCCTTTGGGGTCTTATATACATAGATAGCCAGATATCTGTATATAGTACGGCGCCCTTACAATAAGCACCCAAATAAGGGACCCTAGCTTCGAGAAATCCCCATGTACAGATGCGAGAAGCGACAAAAAATGTCCTAGGGTCCTAGGATCTTGCAGGCATGGAGCTCTATCACTGGTTCTACTTCCGCTGGAGGGATGGTGAGGTCCCCCTTGCGGAAGTCGATGACTCCGCACAGAGGCGCGCCGTGGCGCTGCTCTGGTGTGGGCTTGAAAATGCTGGATGCCTGAAGGCAGGGCCGTTTAGTAAGGGCGTAGGGCGTAGGGTTTAGGGTTTATGGCAAGCTCGAAAGGAATGCCAGAGCCACCAGAGTGCGACACTTGGTGCGCTTGGCTTTGTTGTCGGCTGCTCGTGTGAATTCAGGATGCCGCGCAGACGGAGGAGTCGATTCGCGGCTTCATGGAGATGGGGTGTCACATATTCTGGCAGCAGATGGTCATGATTGAAGCAGAGATCGGATTGGAGCTTTCAAGGCCGCATCCATGTAGAGGAACTCCTCTTTCACTGCGGTGCAACCTTGAGCTTTGCATAGCTTTTGCTGTAGCCCAAGTCCATGTTTACTTGCAGCATCTTCGCACCTGAAACAGGCGTGGAAATGTGCGACTGTCTGCCCGCGTACTCCGCAATGCCTCTGAACACTTCTCGCAGATGATGCGGCATCCGTACTTTTCAAGGTTCCCTTGGCAGCATCCCCACGATATGAACTTTAACCACGAGATGTTTCCTTCTCCTGGCCCTGTCTGGCCCAGCAAGATGCTGCCAATTGAGAGTTGGCTGGAGGCAGAGTGGCGAAGTCTTTGTTGAGATGCTCTTGAGAGAATGGTTGCGAGTGCATTCTGTAACTGCAATGCGGCCTTGCACCGCCGCGCACCGCCGCGCGCCGCCGCGCGCCACCGCGCGCCGCCGCGCACCGCCGCGCCACCGCATGGCGAGTGGTCTCTGCGCACTGGCGCACAGGCGCACCGCCGCACCCGAAAACAGATCCTCCTAGCCATCCCCCAGTTGCCAACAGACAACAATGTACCATGCGATCTACCCACCTATAACCGACCATCCAAGTAGTCCCCGCAGATGGCGCCGGCGCGGGCGGTATACGGCAACGGCGGCGCAAAGGCGTACGATGTGCCCGCATCGGCGGTGTCGGTGGCACAACGGCGTCTGTGGCGACTGCGGTGTGGGCGTCGTCACGCCGCCGGGGATCCAAAACATCTCAAGTATCCGGGCGGCGCGTCGGTAGTGGCGCAGAAACGTGTCAAGACACCCTACCCCACTCTCGAGATAATATTGAGATGCCGACTTGAAGGCGTTGCCCGTGTTGGTTGCAGGAGCATTTTGCCATATTCCGGGAGGAGCTCGACGCGCTACTCCAGCATGCAGGATTGTTTGACGCCCTGCACGAGGCGGAGAGGAATGCCGAGGCACTTTGGCTTGTTGGGTTGCCAGAGTCATCTTTGACCTCCCACCACGAAAGCGCACAGCGCCGCCACCTAAGCTTACTGGGTCCGGGCAGTCAAGGAATGTCAGGGACGTCGGTTTACCTTTTACATTCTGGATAAAATGTCGGCAAGTCTGCAGGTGAAGATCCTTGTGGGGTATGTACCCTAAATATATAGGCTGATTTTGCAAGATACCCAAAAACATCGCATCCAGCATGTTTGGACAATTGGCTTTCCCTTTCTCAACTTGTTTTTACGCTGGTCGACATTGGTTTTGTTCTGCAGAATTTGGGGGTTTACGCTATTCGGGGTACCTTACTGGGGTCCTTCTTATAAGGGAATCCCACTTTTGAGGGGGTCTATTTTAGGGGTCCCCTATTTTCATAAACCCCCCATGGTTATCAGCACTGGTAGGGGCAAGACCATGCCAGAGACACTGACTGGACGGTGCTGGAATTGGCGGACACTCGGGAGGAGGAGCCGTGGAAACTGGCCGCTTGCTCTCAGGTGCCTCGCACTTGCGGCTGAGCGAATGATATGGCAGAGGGTTGTTCCATATTTGGGGTACCCATTTCTAACAGTAAAAAATCCGCAGTTGAGGCCTGTTTTGCGGGCATCTGAGGTAGACTTCTGCAAAGCAGGCCAGGGATTCTTGGTGTCTCTATTGTGTGTGTTTTCTACTTGGGACCGGGAGTCACATCTGACTGAAGCAGTTTGGGGTTTGCAGGCCAGAGTTCCAGTGCGACCACGCCGCCGCGTACATCAACCGCATGCGCCCTGGGGCTTGGATCAAGCCTCACATGGGTGGGCCCCCACGGCTGGTGGCACACCTCGGGCGCCCCGAACTGATACAGCTGAACTGCTTGGTTTCTTTGCTTGTGGTACTTTCTGCATTTCAATTGCTTCCAGCTGTGGAGGCTTGTAGAAAGGTGCACATGATGCGTTGTGCAAGATGCCACCAGGCTGGATGTGCCGGATGCGATGCCCGACAGCAAAAGCTTTGGGTTCTTTTGAGATGAATGCCATTTGGGCAGCCAGATTTTCTAGTCCATTCTGGCCAAGCACGCCGTTTTTCAGATCTGACATGGATGGCAGGCCAATAGAGCTATATGTTGGCACTGCCAAATTGAACTGGGAGACTGGACGGGCCCACGTCATTGATGACACATACCCGCATTCCGCACGGTACTTGGGAGAACATGACGAAGGTGAAGAACGCTGCTAGCGTGGCAACGAGTTGAGATCTCTTTGTGTATACTATACATATATATATATACATATATACAATATATATATATATATATATACAAGAGAATCAATATTCATATTACTATTAATGAAAATACAGGGACTCAAGTTACTCCGAGGCTACATCCTTCATCTGCTCATGTGCCATCCTTGCGAAGAGCAGCAGCGCGCTGCCTACACGGGCCAGGCATCCCCAAAAGCTGGAAGCCTCTCAAAGCCGCCAAAACTTCGCTGGACTTGAAACTGTTTAAACAGGAACATAACTGGAACGAGTGTGAGCGACGGGTGCGAAAGGAACAGCTCATGACACAACATGGTCAGTCTTGCGCGCAGGAGCAGATGTGCGATCCCGGAGCGCATGGCGCGGGTTGAGTTGCGCCTCAACTTCTCTCGCAGAAAATGCTTCGCTGTACGGAGAACACATTCGCTGCTTTGCGGCGCCGACATGCGCCATGCGCTGACTCTGGGCCAAGGGCCGAGCACATTGGCATCATGGGCACATCGACCTGGAGCTTCTGGAACCCTGCCGTACATGAAGTCTATGGGCAAACGGCCGGGCCACTGGCAGGGCGGCTTGTGTTCATGCTTTTGCAGACACTTCCATTAGACTCCGGGCTTGGACGGCGGAGATCCTGGATGTGAAGATGTGGGGGGGCCATCGGTCTGCGCATTTCCCGACCTGAAGTGCGCTTGTCCAGTTCATCCTGGGCACGTTGAATGTTGAATAATGTTGAATATGTGCACAGTAGATCCTTTTCCAGTGCAGAGTCGCATCGACTCGCACAAAGTCGTAGTTAATGAAGCTGAGGCGTTTTCGTTGCAACATGCCTTGTACAGTCGAGATAGCGTTCGTATGGAACCGGCTGCCCACATAACCATGCACATGCCTCGCAGATGCCTCTCGTTCAAGTCCGCTGGTGCCAGGTCTCTTCGGGACACCAACGTGGCTAAGATCGAGGCCCTGAGTCGTGATACAGATTGTCAGCTACTGATTCCGGAAGAGCGATTAAAGGAATCCCATCTGTCTAAGGTAATTAGGTTGCCTCGAAACTGTGTTTAGCACACGTACCAGGCTCAGCTCGATGGCTTTCTGAGCTTCTTGTCGAAGCTCTCCGCGTAACCTAAGCCTCAACAACCTCACTGCGCTCTTGAAGGGGGATAGTAATGGGGATTGCAGGGTTGCGACTACAAGGCGAACCACTTCTAGTAGTGACAGCCTACATGAGGCTACCTAGCGATTAGGTCCTGTGAGCAGAGAAGAAGTTGTGACGGTCGTGCTGGCCGAATGACTTGCATGGTGCCGTTCAGGGAGACGACCTCAAGATTTTCATGGGCTTGCTGGCAGACCTTTTCCCCGGAGTGCAGGCACCTGTGCTTCAACGAATGCATGTCGGTCGCGCCGTCATTCGGAAGCTTAGTGTGTGCGACGGGCAGGTTCCGCGGGCACGAGACTACGACTTCGAACAGGTCTGTGTGGAGGCAGGATGTGGAAGCTGAGTGTCGAACATCGCTACTCCGGCTCTGCGCAGGTGATGGAGAGTGACTTCGGCTACACCAACGATCCTGATGGGTGAGTGCCTGAGTTAATAGGCAAATAAGTACGTCTCACTAATGACACCCGGATCTGGGTGATGGAATGCTATCCAGGTATCTGCTTCTGAAGATCTCCCAGCTTATCGAACTCTTGGAGATTCGGCACTCCGTCTTTTTGATGGGTGTGGCCCTGAGCATCACAGCAGCTCTTCCTTGCCTTCGCGACCAGATCGTGCCAGGGTAGCTGATGACTTGGTGCTTTGGCCTATCTTGCTTCCATGGTCACGCCACGAATCTTTGAGGCAATCCCGGTAGCTTCAAGTCATTCCTCTGGAAAGTCCTGAAGAATGCAAAGACTCGGGTCGGCGGTGAGCTTAGCATGCATGTATTGCAAAACCCTCGAAGGTTTTCACTGGAGCCGCAAAAGCGGTCATATCAATCCTCCACACCACCCTGTTAGCCGCCGTCTGAGGTGACAAGACCACCGTCGTGGACTTCAGCCCGAAAGCCATCACCACCAACGAGCTTTACGGAAGTGTGAACATGGCCGCTGCCTCGACAGAGCAAGTCCATCTACAAGTACAGTAGTCAGTAGCATAGTAAAGCCTCAACATATCTTGCCGATGGTGCTGAGTACACGCGCGAGTGGAAAGACGGCATCCTCTCCAAGACCATGCGCGACCTGGGGCCAGCTTTGCATGTGGAAGCTCTGCTGTTGACATCCTCTTGCCTGATGGGGAGGAGCAGCATCAGCCTGCCAGGCTGGTTCCAGATACTCACCCGAAATGGATCATGCTGGACGGTGACTTGGATGCTAACTGGATTGAATCCATGAACAGCGCCGCAGCCTTGGCAGAGCTACTTTGGCTCGCTTGGACTTTGTGAGATGCAGAGGAGCGATGCTTAGGTCATGGATGATAGCAGGCCTGGATCATCTTTTGGTGTCGGAGTGACTGTAGTGCTGATGCTGCTGCAAGGCTCCTAACTCTCCCCTCGAACGAGCGAATTCCGCTCAAGGCGGTTCATGTCAATGTTGGCAGACCACTTTGCTGGGCGTGTGACGCCAGATGCATATGAAGATGATCTTCGAGATTCGGGACCTGAATTATGCAACCCCTGCCACAGCAACGAGAGCCGGCATAGCCGTGAGCCAAGCCTCCAGCTGCTTGTGTGATAGCCTGGCGTACGCGAAATGCCTTCGATGACGGCCGAAGGATGGTCGAACGGCATTAAGTTAACGGAGAATAGCTTACTCGTCCTGTGCTGCGTGGTTTCATGCCATCAAGAGGTACTCAAGGGGCATATAGCTGGGCATTGCATCGCTAGCAATACTCACTTGCTCCTTGAAGTTTAAATCGGCGTGTCTAGTTCATGGTATCATTGTCAGAAAGGTTTCCAGGATGCAACCTTGGTATCCGTCTGGTCTTCTAGAATTTCCACTCGCACGCCTACAAACTGCTACAGGAATATTTAACCTGAAGTTCAGCCCGGGATGCCCTCGGGTACCGACATGAGCCATACCGGGGGCGGATGTTGTGCTTCACAAGCTAGGTGTCATCTTGCTGGATTGGCAACTACAGGGAGCAAGAGCCGAGGTGTGCATGTCGGACAAAGAGGGCGTCCAGTGGCAATGCTATGTGAATTCTTGGATCAAGAAGTGTGCATATCCAGAACCCTTCAAGGCACCGCAAGTACTTCTAGCAAGCAGCTAGCATAAGTTCTCGCATGAGCGGAGAGCACGTGCAGGAGCAGCTTGCACTCCTCTTCGACAAGTACTGCTCCACTACCCTTGCCTGGATACGCAAGTCTGCCAAGATTCAGGCACATGATGGCTCTGAAGAACTGTGCAGGGATGAGCCCACCAGCCCAGCCGCGGCGTAGAACCTGCGTCGCCCAGACCTAGCACTGATAGCCGATAATCATATTTTGCAAGAACCGTTCCGGGGTTCCTGTGGGCAGGTTCCCTACGTGGAGGTTGCCCTGATCTCCGCGCTGTGCAGCCTGCTGGATGCCCGCCTGCCCTCCCACAATCTGGAGGCAGAAGCGGAAGTTGACCTGGCGCTGTTTGGGGAGAAGTGCCTTTCTGGAATAAACACTCTTTGGGGTACAGCTCTCCTCTTGCATTCCTGCCAAAGGTGGCCTTAGACTTCATCCCGGAAACCTGGAACTTCCGAACCTCAGCCCTTTCTTTGCAGAGGCCGTGGAGGCTTGGTTCGTCTTCTGCACCATCTTTGCCACCGGCAGCAGTCTTGCCGAAGCGTGAGCCCAAGAGCTGATGCTTCTGCAGGGATGCTCGCAGAAGAGCCAAGCACCTGAGGTTGATGGAATCGACTACCGGAAGGCTTTCAGCACCTGGTGGAAGAACGAGATGAAGACCATCAAGTGCCTGGGCTTCTTTTGCCAGAGCTGTGCTGCAACAGCTGTGCAGCAAACTGGTGCAACGCAATCGGCCAGGTACCCGACGAAGGGGCTCGTGTTTGACTTGTATGTCCGGGATTCGAGGCTTCAAGAGCTTTGCTGCTGGAGAGCTGCATATCCTGTTCGCCGCCCCCTATCTGTCAAAGGCTGGAGGAGTGGGGCAGCCTCGTCGAGCCCCTGCAGTGCGCCAGTAAATATAAGAAGAGGTAGAACTGGTAGTGGAAATAGAAATATAGGGACACGTAGATGATTCGGCAAATTTGTATATGCTCATATATTATATGCATGAGTAATTAAATGGACAACAAATAAACCGATAATGGAAAATTAGAATATATGCAAGTAGCTGTAAACCAAAAATAGTGAATACGACAATAGGGAAACAGTAAACAGCTAGACGAATAGAAATAAGCCACTCAAGCGAATGCGAAACGCATGCATGGTGGTACAGTGACTGGCTAAGTGCGCCAGTGTTGTGCAAGGTACCGAAGCACAACTCCCATGGGGGAGGTCACTGTGTCTGCTTCTCAGATGTGAGCTTTCAGGGTATTATAATTATAATTATTATTATTCTGATGTTTATTATTAATGTATGTAATGTATATATATATATATACACATAATATTACCCACGTGGATGCGAATCCTTTGCAGTCTGTGTCTCAGGCCGACTACGGAAACGGTCTGCCTGGACTACTTCATGAAAGCATTGATTGAGGCAACCGGACGGAAATGATGTATGGAGTGGATGCAATGGCATAGTGCCCTAAACTAAACCAAGCCCTAAACCCCAAACCTGCACCTGCTAGGTGAACCATCCGGTGATGCTTATTGGTCTCGCTGGCTGCGGCATCCTGCTCAGAATTTCTGTTCTGGTATGACTCAGGAACATGCAGCTTGCTTGGCTGGACTCGATGCCTTTGCTCGTGCAATGTATGCCAAGTGTGAGGGTGCAAGGCTAGCGTCTAGCATGCAGTAGACTAGGAACCGGGTGATGTACCGATACCCAAACCTCCTTGCATTGGATGGGAAGGCAAGACGCAGTCCTGCACTGGTCTGTTGAAGCGGCTGGATCATGAGGCTCGGCCAGACCATTGTCACGTCTGTCAGCTGTGTTCTCACCTGTTGACCGTATGTGCAGATCACAAGAACCTTGCTGCATGAACTGCAAGTGGTTGCGAAGGTCTTCATGGGCTACAAGATGAACATGTGGTTCAGCAGCATTGGGCTGCACCTGTAAGGAAGCAGCCTCTTCCCCCTCCCGCCCAGGAGCTACTACACGGACTCCACCATGCTTCAAACGATGATGGAGATTCCGCTTGAGAAGAAGGCGCCACAACAGAGAAGTATGCGCTTTGCACATCCATCCACAGCAAAGCCGAGATCTTGAGAATGAAGCTACTATGAAGCAAAGCATCGCTCCTGGAGGCCGGAAAGCTGTATGCTCCTCCTGGCAAGCTTCAGCTGATCTACTTCATTGATGATCTGAACATGCCGGGCTCCCACCGAGGCCAGGTTTTTTTAGGAGTTGCAGATCAGGGTTTGCTGCACACCAAGGCCGGCCCTGGACAAGTACAACACGCAGTCTGCAATCGAGCTGATTAAGCAGAAGCAGGAGAAGAACTGGGGAGGGAGTCGAAGAGTCGAAGATCTCCGGCCCCACGCCCCTTGATTTGAGGGAATGTGCTGTGAAGCATTCTTTCTCTAGCAGCCTGTAAGCTATAAGTTTGTTTGTTGTTTTAATACACCCCCACCCCCTGCCCCCCCAGGGCCAAGTGGTTGTCATTGTGACAGGGGAACATTCGAGGTTCCGAAGCATGCTGGGACTCTTTAGCTGCGTACTGGCTGCCACATCATACCCCATCCGGTCTCACAGGACTACAGCCACTGGTATGACCGGGTCAAGATCCAAGTCAAAGACATTGGTGGCACGCAGTGACCTGTGCGGTAGCACTGCAAGAACACTGCGCATGCAAGGTACTCGCGTCTCAAGGTAACAGTCGCAGAGCATTCTAAAGCTAAACTTGCAACGGCCCGCCGGATCCCATCGACCCGCACACCTTTTGCACAACGAGCAACCGAAATCCTGTTTAAAGTTGGCCAGACGCATCTGCGTGCCTTCTATGCAGGAATCCTGCTGCCCGCATGGGACTCTTCCTGAGCAACAACTCTAACACAGATGTCCTGGCAGGTACCTCTGCTGCATGAACCCAACGGCTGGTTCTTTCACTGTGAATCCGCGTCTTCAGCGTCATTTCTGGACGGGAATGATGTGTGCTGTGCCGTGCTGGATACACTTGTTGCCGTTTGGCCTTCTGAACTGCGGCACCTGCATACGAGCTCTGCTGGAGATCTCTTGATGGTTCTTGTTCAGAAAGTCTTCAATGTCTTGGGACCGTTTAGAGCTCTGGAGCCTTAAGGCCCAGTGTGTCCCGATCTGGGGTCCATCCGAAAACCTCCTTCATGCTCATGGTTTTTTCGTGTCCGTGAGGACCAGCTCCGTTCAATTCCCAGAACAGCCACGGACTGAGAAGTCTCAAAATTCTCACGAGCATCGAGAGTGCCAGGGCACGTAGACTGGCACACCTCCGCTTGATGATCAATTCCCGCACTGGCAATGCAATGCAATGCAATGTGCCGCCCGGTGGGTTGAGGAATGCCTTGAACTTGATCTACTCCACCTTCATGAAAGGCCACTTCGACACGCTCTCCTTCAAGGCCCGCCAGAAGACCCCCTAGTGATTACATGTGGGGGTTTCCGAAAAATAGGGGTAATCTGTTCGGGGGTTCCTATTATAAGGTTTGTAGTGTTTTTTGGGGTATAGTAGGGGTACCCCCTATGTTGGGACATGCCCATTTAATGGCCAAGAGTCCTGGTCCAAGGTGCCGGTGCAGGAGATCTCAAACTGGGTCATCAAAGCTGCCCTCAACTTCCACACCCAGGCATGGGGTTTAGGGTTTAGGGTTTAGGGTTTAGGGTTTAGGGTTTAGGGTTTAGGGTGCAGTGGTAGATAGTGGTATGCGCCTGGGGCATTTTCGAGCCTCATGGCTGACAGGTCAGCGCCACTTTCAGGAAGACTGCGCAGAACATGCACTACGAGCTTCAATCTGAGTGCAAGAGCAACAGAGTGACTGGCCAGTGGTGTGTGACGGACTCGCAATTTTAGTATGGCTTCATAGGCATGGCTTGCCGCAGAGTTGTACCCTAAGGTTCAATATCCGCCACATGAGTGGCGTCTTCTCCGGCCTCCTCAAGGTGTGAGAGTGCCTAGGAGGATTGCTTGCTTATGAACCCCCACATTAGCCCACATGAATTAGCTTACAGCTGCTGCATTACAGAATGCTGGCAGTCGAAGCCAAGCGAGTTCATGGATGCGGAGAAGCTTGTTCTCTTGTGGACAGGGCCCAAGCTGGGTTCGTGACATGGCAGTTCAGAATGTTATGGGCCGTTGAGGCCACACATTGCATGGACCCGGAACCCTAAACATTGCCCTTAAGACCCTCAACCTCTAAACACACGACACTGCTAGGATTCACGAAAGCGAGCGCATCTACGGCGATCGTCTGGTGTCCATGGCCGACCTCAGGAAGCCGAAGACTCAGACAACTGGCGCTTCAGGTATTTGGGGGTTGAGGATCGAACGTCAGAGTTTGGTGTATGGTAAGGTCATCTTGAAAGGACAATGCTACATAGGCTTAGATCCGGCCGGCTCACAGACGCAGATTCCGGTTCCAGGGCTTGACGGAGCTTATGCAACATGGGACCCGTGCGACTTGCGATGCAAAACCGAAGATCGTAAACTGGATGTGGCGCTCTCATGGCGAGTCGTCCTGACTGCAAGGCTGCGACAGCTTACGGAGAAGATCGCGAAGCAGATGTTTTCGAAGCACAACCTGCAGAAGTACTTCCAGGCAGCTCGCCTTTCTGCCACTATGCACCGTGCATTCCACGTAGAAACTCCATGAAGCGCAAGGAGAAGAATCCTGAGCCCATCGTGTTTGCGCCCTTCTCGCGAGCCAGCCTGACTGCTTTGTGCGTGCCCTTGTATTCGGCACCAGCTCTAGTGACTCCAGTGCTATAGTGGAACATGGCAGGGACATCAGAACATGGACGATGGTGGTGTGTATGACAAGATCAAGGCCCTCCATCATGCGGCAAATGCCAATCCAAATCTCGTCGAACACTGAAAAGCGCATTTTCTGCGTAGTGCCGGCAGGACATGGAGCGATTGTCGCAAATTCTGCAGGAGGCCTCTTTGCTCGCCTTGCGCGGCTTCCCAATACTTGCCAAAGCTGCTGTGTTGCATCGGCGCTCACGTCGCTCGGGCTGTCACATGCCCTCCGCCGGGTAGCTTTCTGGTCACATGCCCTCAAACGCTTGCAAAACCCCTCGCCCCAGTGATTGCACAGATGTGACGAGGCGGGAGGCGAGCATCATGAGCATCAGCCGGTAGCTTTCTGCTCACATGCCTCCCCAAGCTGCGAACGCTTGCAAAACCCCTCGCCCCAGTGATTGCACAGATGTGACGAGGCGGGAGGCGAGCATCATGAGCATCAGCCGGTAGCTTTCTGGTCACATGCCCTCCCCAAGCTGCGAACGCTTGGCAAAACCCCTCGCTCCAGTGATTGCACAGATGTGACGAGGCGGGAGGGCCGGGTAGCTTTCTGGTCACATTGCCGTCAAGCGCTTGCAAAACCACTCGCCCCAGTGATTGCACAGATGTGACGAGGCGGGAGGCGAGCATCATGAGCATCAGCCGGGTAGCTTTCTGGTCACATGCCCTCCCCAAGCTGCGAACGCTTGGCAAAACCCCTCGCCCCAGTGATTGCACAGATGTGACGAGGCGGGAGGGCCGGGTAGCTTTCTGGTCACATTGCCGTCAAGCGCTTGCAAAACCACTCGCCCCAGTGATTGCACAGATGTGACGAGGCGGGAGGCGAGCATCATGAGCATCAGCCGGGTAGCTTTCTGGTCACATGCCCTCCCCAAGCTGCGAACGCTTGCAAAACCCCTCGCCCCAGTGATTGCACAGATGTGACGAGGCGGGAGGCGAGCATCATGAGCATCAGCCGGGTAGCTTTCTGGTCACATGCCCTCAAACGCTTGCAAAACCCCTCGCCCCAGCGATTGCACAGATGTGACGAGGCGGGAGGCGAGCATCATGAGCATCAGCCGGTAGCTTTCTGGTCACATGCCCTCCCCAAGCTGCGAACGCTTGCAAAACCCCTCGCTCCAGTGATTGCACAGATGTGACGAGGCGGGAGGCGAGCATCATGAGCATCAGCCGGGTAGCTTTCTGGTCACATGCCCTCAAGCGCTTGCAAAACCACTCGCCCCAGTGATTGCACAGATGTGACGAGGCGGGAGGCGAGCATCATGAGCATCAGCCGGTAGCTTTCTGGTCACATGCCCTCCTCAAGCTGCGAACGCTTGCAAAACCCCTTGCCCCAGTGATTGCACAGATGTGACGAGGCGGGAGGCGAGCATCATGAGCATCAGCCGGTAGCTTTCTGGTCACGTGCCCTCCCCAAGCTGCAAACGCTTGCAAAACCCTTTGCCCCAGTGATTGCACAGATGTGACGAGGCGGGAGGCGAACATCATGAGCATCAGCCGGGTAGCTTTCTGGTCACATGCCCTCCCCAAGCTGCGAACGCTTGCGAAACCCCCCGCTCCAGTGATTGCACAGGTGTGACGAGGCGGGAGGCGAGCATCATGAGCATCAGCCGGTAGCTCTCTGGTCACCTGCCCTCCCCAAGCTGCAAACGCTTGCAAAACCCTTCGCCCCAGTGATTGCACAGGTGTGACGAGGCGGGAGGCGAGCATCATGAGCATCAGCCGGGTAGCTTTCTGGTCACATGCCCTCAAGCGCTTGCAAAACCACTCGCCCCAGTGATTGCACAGATGTGACGAGGCGGGAGGCGAGCATCATGAGCATCAGCCGGGTAGCTTTCTGGTAACATGCCCTCCCCAAGCTGCAAACACTTGCAAAGCCCTTCGCCCCAGTGATTGCGCAGATGTGACGAGGCGGGAGGCGAGCATCATGAGCATCAGCCGGGTAGCTTTCTGGTCACATGCCCTCCCCAAGCTGCAAACGCTTGCAAGACCCTTCGCCCCAGTGATTGACGAGGCGGGAGGCGAGCATCATGAGCATCAGCCGGTTAGCTTTCTGGTCACATGCCCTCCCCAAGCTGCAAACGCTTGCAAGACCCTTCGCCCCAGTGATTGACGAGGCCGGAGGCGAGCATCATGAGCATCAGCGGGGTAGCTTTCTGGTCACATGCTGCAAACTCTTGCAAGACCCTTTGCCCCAGTGATTGACGAGGCGGGAGGCGAGCATCATGAGCATCAGCGGGGTAGCTTTCTGGTCACATGCCCTCCCCAAGCTGCA